CAGGACCAGGGCTAGCACCAGGGGATTGACCAATCACCTTGCGAGATCCACCGAAGGGGCGGAGCGAGCGTAGGAGGGGCTAAAGAGAAGAGGTTTGGCCATTCACCAATCCAAAAGAGGCTTCTGCGCCGCGCGTCCCTTTGCCCCGACCCCTGATGGCGTCGCTGTGGAAACCAAGGTAAGCGACGGTTATGGCCAGGCCAGGGGCGGGGTAAAAAGTTGAGTGACAGGCAAAGCAGCGTCCACATGACAGGCGACGGCGACGGATTAAATTCCGAGGTGGGCGGCCCCCGGGATACACCAGGAAGGGACTGGGGTCGCGGGCTGAGGAGCCTGGATGGCGAGGCCACTCCCGGAGGAGGCTCTTGAGTGGGAGGGAAGGAAAGGGGAAATGCGATGGCAAAAAGCTCCCCATTTGGGAACCCCCAACCGCAACCTTGAGCCCTAGCCCTACTATGGGGATGGCCTCACTGCCGCTCTTAATGAAAGCCCCCGCCCCACTTTTGGTTTGGTTTGGTTTGGAAACAGAGGCTCATTCTGTCCCCCAGGCTGGAGTTCAATGGCGAGAATGACGGCTCACCGCAACCTCCCTCTCCCGGGTTCAACCGATTCTCATGCCTTAGCCTCCCGAGTAGCTGGGATTACAGGTGCCTGCCACCACACCTGGCTAATTTTTGGTTTTTTTTTTTTAGCTAAGACAGGGTTTCGCCATGTTGGCCAGGCTGGTCTTGAACTCCTCACCTCAGGTGATGCTCACACCTCAGCCGCCCAAAGTGCTGGGATTACAGGAGTGAGCCACTGCCCCCACCCCCCTTCCCCACTTTGCTCGGCCCTATATTTGTCTCTGCTTGACGTTGTCCAGAATGGTGTCTACTGGTTCCATGGGGCCACTGAGCCCTTGAAATGGGGCTGGTCCAAATTGAGATGTCCTGTAAATGAAAAATACATCAGTTTCTGGCTGGGTTTGGTCTCCAACTCCTGGCCTCAAGTGACTGACCGCTATGGCCTCCCAAAGCGCTGGGATTACAGGAGTGAGCCATCGTGCTGGGGCTTCTTTTTATATTGCAAGTGTGCCCATTAGAACATTTAAAATCACAAACAGAGGTCACATTTGTGGCTGACAGTTGTGCAACGTGGTTTTTTTGTTGTTGTTGTTGTTCTTTTGTTTTTCTGGGTTTTTTTTGAGATGGAGTTTCGCACTTGTTACCCAGGCTGGAGTGCAATGGATGCGATCTCAGCTCACCGCAACCTCCGCCTCCTGGGTTCAGGCAATTCTCCTGCCTCAGCCTCCTGAGTAGCTGGGATTACAGACACACACCACCATGCCCAGCTAATTTTTTGTATTTTTAGTAGAGACGGGGTTTCACCATGTTGACCATGTCTCTATCTCTTGACCTCGTGATCCACCCGCCTCGGCCTCCCAAAGTGCTGGGATTACAGGCTTGAGCCACCGCGCCCGGCCCTGTTGTTTTTTGCTTTTGGACAGTCTTGCTTGTTCTGTCACCCAAGCTGGAGACCAGTGGCGCAATCATAGCTCACTGTGACCCCAGACACCACACTTGAGGAGATCCTAACACTGCTATATTGCCTCAACTGGCCTCAAACTACTAGACTCAAGCAATCCTCCTGCTTTTACTTCCCAAAGAGTTCAGATTACAGGGATAGGGCCGGGCGCGGTGGCTCAAGCCTGTAATCCCAGCACTTTGGGAGGCCGAGGCGGGTGGATCACGAGGTCGAGAGATCGAGACCATCCTGGTCAACAAGGTGAAACCCCGTCTCTACTAAAAATACAAAAAGTTAGCTGGGCATGGTGGTGCGTGCCTGTAATCCCAGCTACTTAGGAGGCTGAGGCAGGAGAATTGCCTGAGCCCAGGAGGCGGAGGTTGCGGTGAGCCGAGATCGCGCCATTGCACTCCAGCCTGGGTAACAAGAGCGAAACTCCGTCTCAAAAAAAAAAAAAAAACAGATTACAGGGATGAGCCACCTTGCCCCACCCCCTTACACTATATTTTTTGAGACAGAGTTTGTAGCCCAGGCTGGAGTGCTATGTGCGATCTCGGCTCACCGCAACCTCCATCTCCTGGATTCAAGCGATTCTCCTGCCTCAGCCTCCCAAGTAGCTGGGATTACAGGCATGCACCACCACCCTTGGCTAATTTTGTATTTTTAGTAGAGACGGGGTTTCTCCATGTTGGTTAGGCTGGTCTTGAACTCCCGACCTCAGGTAATGTGCCCGCCTCAGCCTCCCAAAGTGCTGGGATTACAGATGTGAGCCACCGCACTGGACCCTCTTACACTATTTTTGTTGGACAGTACTGATCTGGGATCATGGCATGCTTTGGCACCCTTGTTATGAGGAAGCTGGGGACACACACAAGGGTACTCATGCCTGCAAACACTCAAGACCTCAGACAGGCTGGGTGCAGTGGCTCACACCTGTTATCCCAGCACTTTGCGAGGCCGAAGCAGGCAGACCACCTGAGATCAGGAGTTTGAGACCAGCCTGGCCAAGATGGCGAAAACCCATCTCTACTTAAAATACAAACATTAACCTGACATGGTGGTGGGTGCCTGTAACCCCAGCTACTTGGGAGGCTGAGGCAGGAGAACTGCTTGAAACTGGGAGGAGGTGGAGGTTGCAGTGAGCCAAGATCACACTACTGCACTCCAGCCTGGGTGACAGAGCAAGACTCTGTCCCGAAAAAAAAAAGAAGACTTCAGACAGGCAAAAGAGCAGGCAGTACCTGGCACACTTCTTCACCTCCTACCTTACTCCTGTTTCCAGATCCTGCTCCTGAGCCTTCACCAGCTGTTGAACCATCCGGAATTCACAGGCCTGTCATCAGAGACATGATGAGAAGTCCTTAAAGATAGATCACTGATTCACAGGGGAACAGGCGGAAGCAAGGGTGAGTCAGTGCTTGGAACTCAGTCATCCAGATTCGGCTCTAGAAACTTCTGAACCAGCCGGGCGCGGTGGCTCAAGCCTGTAATCCCAGCACTTTGGGAGACCGAGGCGGGTGGATCACGAGGTCAAGAGATCAAGACCATCCTGGTCAACATGGTGAAACCCCGCCTCTACTAAAAATACAAAACATTAGCTGGGCGTGGTGGCGCGTGCCTGTAATCTCAGCTACTCGGGAGGCTGAGGCAGGAGAATTGCCTGAACCCAGGAGGCGGAGGTTGCGGTGAGCCGAGATCGCGCCATTGCACTCCAGCCTGGGTAACAAGAGCGAAACTCTGTCTCAAAAAAAAAAAAAAAAAAAAAGAAACTTCTGAACCTGTAGCCTTTGGGGATCCCTCACTCCGAGTACAGGAAGCCAAGGCTATGTGGTCTTCAGGAAACTCCTTATCTTCTTCACTGGCGCTATCTGGGGAAAACAGGTGAAAACATGAAGGTGTTTTGTATGTGTGCCTTCAAAAGCAAGGATCTGGCCAAACTCGGGGGCTCACACCTGTAATGCCAGCACTTTGGGAGGCCAAGGCAGGCAGATCACCTGAGGTCAGGAGTTCAATACCAGCCTGACCAACATGGAGAAACCCTGTCTCTACTTAAAAAAATACAAAAAAATGAGCCAGGCATGGTGGTAAATGCCTGTAATCCCAGCTACTCAGGAGGCTGAGGCAGGAGAATTGCTTGAACCCGGGAGGCAGAGGTTCGGTGAGCCAAGATGGCGCCATTGCACTCCAGCCTGGGCAACAAGAGTGAAATTCTGTGTCGAAAAAAAAAAAAAAAAAAAAAAGCTGGCAGAAAGGCAGGATCCATCCTCCAAAGTAGAATTCCTCTTTGTTTTTGAGAGGTGTGGCAGCCTCGAGGAACCCCTTGTTTACCAATGTGGCTTCCAGAACCCAGGCTGTCAGCAGAAATGAAATCCACCCTTGGAATGAAGACTGGCCACTTTGTTCAAGCCACTGAGGACACTGTACCATGGCCCCTGACAGTGTCTGTCAGTAGAGACAGTCAGATCCTGCTGGTGTCCTCAGCCTCAGCACAGTGGCTGATTCATAATGGTGACTGGCAGATCTGTTGGGTGCCTGCTGAGCTGATTGTAGCTATCTCCTTTATTAAAGCAATTTCCAAAGGAGAAACTGCAAGAGACGTCCTAAGCTGTGACAGCTTCCAAGGATGATCTGGGCTTCCTGGGACCTCAGGTTTGAGGGAACCCAAGGTCACTTTAATGTCAGAGATCTGATGTGTTTGGTCATGTCTTATCTCACAAGCTCCTTTTCTTTTTCCCATGGGCAGGGCAGGTCAGATCTTGACTTCTCCCAGAACCTGGCTTGGCTGGTTTTGAGGCATGTGTGATTGAGCTGGCTCACCAGTGTGTGAGGGAAGGTGAAGCTGGGATGAGAGGAGCCAGGGCTGGTTAGCAAGTTTCTGCTGTGTCAGGAATCCCAGAGAGAGGTTTACCAAGCCCTAGCCTGTCTTTCCTGGGATGTTTGGTTTTTTCCCTTCTTTTTTTGTTTGTTTGTTTGTAATTGAAGCATCGTTGACATGCAGTGAAATTCACTCATTTTAGTTTACAGCTCTGAAAACATACAGTCAGGCAGCCACCACTACAATCACGATGTAGAACATTTACATCATCCCCCAACATTCTCCAAATTATCCATGTTTCAGGTCCCAGCCCCTGGCAACTATTCATCTGTTTTTTGTCCTGATACTTTTGCCTTTTCCAGAAGGTCGAGTAAAATGGAATCATGCAGCCTTTTGAGCCTGGCTTCTTTCACCCACATAATGCATTTCAGGTTCATCTGTAACGGGGTTTTTTTTGTTTTTTGTTTTTTTTTTCCATTTTTTTGTGTGTGTCTGTAGCTTGTTCCTTTTTTATGACTGAATAGTATTCCATTGTGTGGATGGATCGCATTTGTTCATCCATTCATCTATAGAAGGACAGATTTAACAGCTGTTGCTAATAACTAATAAAGCCTCAGCAAACATTTACTCATGAAATTTCATAAATGAACAAAAGTTTTCATTTCACCTATGTATCCCATTA